TATATCTACTACAAAAGGAGCATGCTAAAGCTTGAAGTAAAAATACTTCCAACAATTGATACTCATAAGTTTAAGTTCTTCTCCTGAACAGCAATTCTATAGATGGTTAGATTAGCTGACATTGATGGTCACATTTATCAGTAGTCTGCCCTCTCTCTGCATTTCATGTATCCCCCTGCTCCTCTATAGTAGTTGCATATGCATTTACAACAAAAGTTGTGGTGGGGTTTTTTATATGAGGATTAAGAAGATTAGAAAATCGTATAAAATTATTGAATTCATAAAAGATATTTTAATAATAAAAGTTTAAATCAATGCCAATAAACATACATGATTATCAAGTCCCTAGATTTCTTGCCTATTTTTCCTGTTAGCACTGCATAAATCTAGCCCTGGGGTTTTTTTTCCTTAAATAGTAACTAATTGTGTACAGAATGCATTGCTGAATACCGTTGTTATACTCGGAAACAGCTGTGTTTCTTCCCTTTAGGGGTAACCAAATAAATGGGTACACACTGTAAGGTAAACAATAAAACACTAATAAAATCTGCATACACTGCTAACTGATCATACCACAAAAACTATACACTGTAGGAAAGGCAAGCTGTACATCTGAAATATAGGAGTAGTGGAGGTTTTGGTAACAGGAACCATTCGAATTCCAGCTATAGTCCTTGTATATAGTGATTTTAGAAAACAAAGGCAGGTATTTAGTTGGGCATCACCTTTTCTTTTTTATCAACTTTCCAAACACAAGGCTATACATATAACTCACTTGAGTGGGTAAGCAGTGAGAGATCCCTCACTATTTTATATTTTAAAATGTATTTAGGAAAAAAAGAGTTGAAGATGTTCATGTTTTTTTTACTTCTTTTAGGTTCCTTCCAGCACTCCTTACAGCTGTCCTCACAAATCACCTTGCCTGGGTTCCAACAGTCATGCCCAATGGACAGCCACCAATTAAAATCTTCCTGGAAAAGCACTCATCACAAAGTGTGAATATGTTGGCAAAGACTCACCCATACAACCCTCTTTGGGCACAGCTGGGTAAGTCATGAACATTTACATGGTTACATACTATTTGAGGTGCAATAAATACATTAGTCCATCAAGTCCAACCTATTAGGATCTCATTCTAGGAGTACCTGTACCCCTGTATATTACGGTCCCTTAAGAAATCGTCCAAAAGTTTCTTGAACAATTCCACATTATTTGCTGAAATCACCGCCTGTGGCAGTGAGTTCCAGACCCTAACTGATCTTACTGTGAAGAACCCCCTTCGCCCCTTGTGCTGGAATTTTTTTTCCACCAATTTTAGGTGGTGGCCTCTAGTTTTTGTAATGGAGTTAATTTTAAACAGTTTATCGCTAATGTTGCTACCACCATTGAACATTTTGTACATGGAGATCATATCCCCCCTTAATCTCCTCACCTCCAATGTGAACATGTTTAAATTTAGTAGCCTTGTCTCGTAGCTCTGGTCCTCCATACCCCTAATTAGTTTGGTTGCCCCAGTTACTGCTGCTTCTAGCTTGTATCTCTCTGGCACTGTTCTACTGTGTCCATCTTTAGCTCTAGGCTGAGTAGTTAGCTACAACTACTAAATTCACCATGGGAGGAAAGGGATATAGGCTGGAGCATAAAATAAAGTTACTTAAAGGAGAACTATGGGATTGAGGCTTTTCCCCATAGTTCTCCTTAGGGTAAAGGGAGGACACAAACTAGCTTCCTCCCGTCACCCTGGGCTCAGACTGAGACACCGCGAGCTGCTGCTCGCGGAATACTGAGACGCTGAAGCGGATCCCGACAATTATGTCTGGATCCGCCCAGCTGTGTGACTGACAGCTGGCTCTGCCTATCTAGAGGCAGAGCCAGCTGTACACGCCCCATCCGTGCCGCCAGTCAGCGCTGGCAGATCGGAGGGGGGCTCTCTGCCGTGACAGGATCGAGAGGTGAGCGAACGCCGCTACGTGTTCGCTCACCGCCCGATCTACTGAGCCGACCTGTGACAGTCTCATTGTCACAGGTCGGCTAGAACTATGAGGTGAGTGAAAAGCACTCACCTCATAGTTCTCCTTTTAACTCTTACGATGGTGATATGGAACCTTTTCTGACATGTAACCAGAAACTTGCATGGTTTGGTGTCTGAAACTACCAGAGGCAGGGTAAAAAGGGTGAAGGAGATTCCGAAGATCCAAAGACTAACAACTGGGATAAAACGGGCTTGTTGTTAATTTAACAGGAACATCATATTTTATGAATTTTTATAAATAGAAAATTAACACATTTCACTATTTTGTGACAGCTGGAGCAATACAAAATGGAACTGTTGCCCATAGCAGCCATTTACACTATATGGCTAAAAGTTTGGGAACCACTGACCATCATCTGTATATAAGCTTGTTGGAAATTCCATTTCATAACTATGGGCATTGATATGGAATGCCCCACCCCCTTCTTTTTAGCTATACCAGCTTTCACTATTCTGGGAATGCTTTTTACAAGATTTTTTTAGTGTGTATGTGGGAATCTCTGCCCATTCAGCCTAATTGTGAGGTCAGATACTGATGTTGGATGAAAAGACCTGGCTTGTTAGAGGTGTCCCAATTCATCCTAAAGGTTTAGCAGAGTTTAGGTTCAAGCTCTGTGCAGACCAGTCACGTTCCTGTACAAAAAAATGGTCAAACCATGTCTTTATGGACTTGTCTTTGTGCACAGGGGCACAGTCATGCTGAAACTGAAAAGGGCCTTCCCACACGGTTGTGTGCACACAGATGTCTTTGTGGTCACTGGAAACACCTGAATTCAATCATTTTGTAGTGCTCATTTTTCATTATCATGGAAAATGAAACGGTCTTGTTGCTGTTTTCAGAAATACCACATTTCCTCTGTTTTTCTAGCTGTAGTTTTCATCAGTAAGGACCAGTGTTCTGGTCCAATAGCTACACAATTCAGTTAAAGAGGTTCTAAACCCTCCCGTTTGTTTTGCCTATATCTACTGCTATCAAGCTATATATATCTACTGCTATCAAGATATAGGCAAACAGTTTAAAAAAAAAAAAACTGCAGGTCGGATTCTCGGCCGGGAGACGGGCAGAGACGCAAGGTAAGTCTATGGACGTGTGCACCCGCATGCAGACACGGGTGGGATCAGAAGTGCCAGCAAGCAGAGAGGAGTCGGCGCTGGATCGGAGAGCCGCTGCAACGCTGGAGGGACAGATGAAAACATCAGGAAACTAGAAGAAGATCGGATTAAGAGACATCATTTAAGGTAAGTGCTGACATTAACATGGGGGGAGGGAAATTTTTTTGTATCCTTTAATGTCACTTTAAAGGAGAACTATGGGGTTAAGGCTTTTCCCCATAGTTCTCCTTAGGGTAACGGGAGGACACAAACTAGCGTCCTCCCATCACCCTAAGCTCAGTATACCGCTACAGCTCGCGGTATACTGAGACGCCGGAGCTGAAGCGGATCCCGACAATTATGTCTGGATCCGCACAGCTGCGTGAGTGACATCTGGCTCTGCCTATCTAGAGGCAGAGCCAGCTGTACCCGCCCCCTCCCTCGTCCGTTCCGCCAGTCAGCGCTGGCGGATCGGAGTGGGGAGGGGGGAATCCAGCGCCTCCCCTGTCACGGCAGAGCGCTGTGACAGGATCGAGAGGTGAGCGAACGCCGGTATGTGTTCGCTCACCTCCTGATCTACTGAGCCGACCTGTGACAGTCTCATTGTCACAGGTCGGCTAGAACTATGAGGTGAGTGAAAAGCACTCATCTCATAGTTCTCCTTTAAACCCTCCAGACCAAAACAAAAACCTTTCTATAGTTTATAAGCAATTCGCATGCACTTATTTTGTCTCAGATTCTCAACCTGAACCTAGTATAAAAATTAGTTGAGCCCCTGAATCACATATGCAGAATTATTTGGGTCATTTGGATGCCGGTGGAAGACATGCTGTGTCTGTATGCACTGTACTTCGTCATCAGTAATGATGCACAGGAGAAAAAAAGTTTTATTGTTTTTTTGTACAGGAGCAGAGCTTTTGTTCCTTATTCACACCAGCTAAGCAAAGACCTTCTAAAAGGGAGTGAACCAAACAGTTTAAATACTGCTTTGTGGGGTTCTTTTAAAGACACTCTTGACATAGCAGGACAATAAGCTACATTTATATTTTATGCTATATGCATAGCTATTAAATGTTTAAAATGTAACATAAGTAAATGGCAACTTGCAAGCACAAATACATTACAGCACAGATATCTAGTTTCTAACCGCAACTAAAAGCTGGATACTTTGCAGTTAGTTTGGGAGTTTTTGTTGGGTGTGGCAGTGATCAATCGATTTTGTGAGGTATGCTGCCATCTGCTGCTGGCTTTCAGTATAGCAGACAAAAGAGAATGGGGAGTAGCATTAGCATTTCAATGCCAGACAAAGTGCTGGCCTCGTTCTTACAGAATTTTCTGGCATATCTTACTGCACCCTCTATCCTGAAGTGGATCAATTATCTTATCTTGGGAGTGTATATGGTGTACACTTAAAAAATATTTCCTTCCACTTTATGTAAGGGAATGCCTGCATAAAGGGTTTCACCTAGTAGGCAAAGAAAAACCTTAAAGAGCACCAGAGAAGTGAGAGTTTAGGTGTTGATGAGTTGAGTGCTTAAAGTACATGTGTGTACAGAACAACATACAGACTGCCATGTTCCAGAGTACAGGGTGCATCAGATTATGTAATATACAGCATGGCATGAGGAGTTCAGCAGTCCAGGAGTGGCCCTTACAGTGGTGGTAAGTTGATTTTGATAGAAAACTATCAAATATGCATGTCCCCGCTCCACAGGTGGCTCTCAGCTGTCAAGTCATGGTGCTGTTCTGCAAAAATCCAGTTAGTACGGGGGGAACAACCACTCCCTCACACTTTAAATTTAGCTGTAATATATTTGTTAAATAGTGCTTTATGCTCAGTAGCAATAGACATACAGTTATAAAATGTATTTGTAATGTGATGCGTCTTACATATAACATTTGTTCTTCAAGTGACAATGGAAAGCTAATATAATTGTTTAACATTTCTGATAGGTGGTTGTCAACCAGGCAGATTTTGCAGTCCCCGAATGCCATTTCCCAAAAGGCTGTTTACTACAAGTTTTTGTTTTTATGCTTATAAATATACCATTAGTGATCTTCCATTGCAAAAATTGTAAGAATATAAAACAGCCAGCTTCTCACCCAAGTGGGCATTCAGTTAACTCTCACTGGTCTAGATACTGAATAGTTACATATGGAAAGCAATTCAATATTACCAAAACGTATGCTTGTTTTTTTCTTTTACAATATTAAAGTCTATCTTTATCCTTTTTGTGTAGGAGATTTATATGGAGCTATTGGGTCACCAGTGCGATTAGCAAGGACAGTTGTCATTGGAAAGAGGCAAGACCTTGTGCAGAGGTTACTTTATTTCCTCACCTACTTTATAAGGTGTTCAGAACTTCAGGAGACCCACCTGCTGGAGAATGGTGAGGATGAAGCAATTGTTATGCCCGGTACAGTGATCACTACAATGCTACAGAAGGGTGAAGTGGAGGAGTCGGATTATGTTTTCATCACAATGCACAAGAATAAGGGTTGCCTGTTGAACAATGATACAGATGAAACAAGGACTTCTGAAAATAAATGTTGCTGTTGCCAGTGTCCCATCACTGACCTGCAAAAACCACAAGAGCAACAGGAGGACTGTCAAAGCTCTGTGAAAGAGGCATTGGAGGAAGGTACCAGTGTAAGCCAGGTAACGACCCAGCTGTCCAGCCAAGAAGTACCTGGTTATACTGAAGTCTACAAAGACAAATCAAGAACTTGCCTAGAAACAAAAATAGAGACTGTCATTAACATTCGGGCAGCTCCAATAGAGAAATGCTCTTTAGCAGTTGGATGCCTAGAGCCATCAGTTCAATTGGTGGACAATGAGAACGTGCAAGAGGAAAGCCCCTCAGTAAAAGGTATGAGAACGAATGAAATCTGTATAGTGAAAAAACCTCCAGATAAGATCCCAACTGCAGCAATGCCTTGTGGTGCTGGCCAGCTCCTAAGCAAGGTGAAGTTTCAGATTGGTGATTCTATGTCACCGGACTCTGATATAGAGATAAAAAGCCAAAATGTAGTGGATCAGATCCAGAAGCACTATCCAAAACCAGTGCAGGAACAGAGGACACATGCTACTGATCCTATCAGTATAGCAAAGCAGAATGCAGAGGACCAAAAAAGTAGCGAGTCGTGTGAGAAACTTTCCAGGGTAGCAAGCAAGCTTGAAAACTGGAATCCTTTTCATCAAGAGAACATTAGCATGTTTGATGAGTACTTTCCAGAAGATGGCTCTATTGAGGCAAAAATCATTGATCATATTCCAGAAGAGGCAAAAAGAATGGATACAGTGTGCCCACAAAGACTGTGTGAAACAGATAAAGCACCTAGTAATGTAAAAAGTGTTCTTCCAAACATTTGCAAAAACTGCTGTGCTGAACAGGACCAAAGAGACAGAGTCTCTGTATCTGTCCCCCATGGGGATAAGGAGAAACCAGAGAATAAGGCTGTACTGGGCACTGACTGGGACATTCCGAGGAACGAGAGTTCAGATAGTGCCCTGGGTGACAGTGAGAGTGAGGACACGGGTCATGAGCTTCATGCACCAAGTATTGGTTACTACGGGGCAGAACAAGTAGACTGGATGGAAGAAGAAGAGATTGCTTTACCAGGGTATGTACATTTTTTCTGGGTGAGGAACAGCCAAACACTGCTACTAAGGTGAGGTTGTGGAAGACGGTTTCATGTCACATGTCATATACTGTGTGCACAATTATTATGCAAATGAATATTTTTGACCAATTCACCATTTTTATGCATATTGTCCAACTGTATAAGCTTGAAGGTTTATTGGATTTAAGCATATCTGGTTATGTGTATTTGTGTAATGAGGGAGGTGGTGGCCTTAGGAGACTAACACCCTATATCAAGGTGTGCATAATAATTAGGCAGTGTCTTTTCCTCAAAAATTGTAAAAAGTCTTTCAGAGGGATGCAGCACTCTTGAAATTGCTAAGATATTGGGTCGTGATCACAGAACCATCAAACTTTTTGTTGCAAATAGTCTTCAGGGTCGCAAGAAACGTGTTGAGAAAGAAGCAAATTAACTGCCAAAGATTTGAGAAGAATCAAATGTGGAGCTACCGGGAACCCATTATCCTCCAGTGACATCATATTCCAGAACTGCACCCTACCTGGAGTGCCCAGAAGTACATGGTGTTCAGTGCTCCGAGACATGGCTAAGGTAGGGAAGGCTGAAGCCCAACCACAACTAAACAAGACACATAAGTTGAAACGTCAAAACTGGGCCAAGAAATATCTGAAGACAGATTTCTCAAAGGTTTTATGGACTGCTGAGATGAGTGACTCTTGATGGACCAGATGAATGGGCCCGTGGCTGGATCAGTAACAGGCACAGAGCTCCACTTCAACTCAGACACCAGCAAGGTGGAGGTGGGGTGCTGGTATTATTAAAAATGAGCTAGTTGGACCTTTTTGGGTTGAAGATGGACTCAAAATCAACTCCAAAACCTACTGCCAGTTTTTAGAAGAAACTTTCTTCAAGCAATGGTACAGGAAAAAGTCTACATCTTTCAAGAAGACTCCATCTAATTCATCAAAGTACTCCACTGCATGGCAAGCTAGTGAAGGCCTTACAGATGAAAGAATAATGACATGGCCCCCTTCCTCACCTGACCTAACCCCTATTGAGAACTTGTGGGCCCTTCTTAAACGGGAGATGTACGGGGAAAACAGTGCACCTCTCTGAACAGTGTCTGGGAGGCTGTGGTTGCTGCTGCATAGAAAGTTGATCGTCAGCAGATGAAGAAACTGACAGTCTCCATGGATGGAAGGCTTATGACTGTTATTGAAAAGAAGGGGGGCTATATTGGTCACTGATTTTGTTTTGAAAATGTCAGAAATGTTTATATATTTGTAAATTTTGAGTTGTTTGTTTATTATTCTCACTTTAACAGATGGAAAAAAAAAAGTGAGATGGGAACATTTTCATTTTCCATTTAGTTGCATAATAATTGTGCACACATAGATATTCTCCTAAGAAAGCAAAAACCTCACTTTTTCTTTCTTAAATATTCAGGTTTGAGGTTTATCATTTTGGATTTACCGAGAGCACTGTAGTTGTTCATTAATTAAATGAATCCTCAAAAATACAACTTCTCTAATAATTGTGCACACAGTACACCATGGCAAAACTGAGCACAGCAACAAGACACAAGGTAGTTATACTGCTGTTCAAGCTCTTTTGGAAAAGCACAAAGAAATGGGCAACGTTGAGGACCGTAGATGAAGTGGTCAGCCAAGGAAGCAGTGCAGCAGATGATTTGAGATTGGAAGATTTCCAGCAGTACACGATACTGAGCGCAGATACCGGCGCTTTAAAATGGAACTCAACTATGTAAACAGACGCCATTGTTCACAGGAAGGCTTTCGAGGTCCCCTGCAAGTGGGGGACCTCTGCAGCCCTCCTGTGAACCACGGTGCCCGTTAACAGCACCGGCCACACATCTCCACCTCCCTGCACCACACCGTCTGCACCCACCCACAGGACCAACCGGGACCTCCTGAGTCCCCGCGCAGCCCTTCCTGAGTCCCCGCGCAGCCCTTCCTGAGTCCCCGCGCAGCCCTTTGAGTCTCCCCGCTGGAGACATCGGGTTTGGCACCGCGGAGCAGCACAGAGTATGTAGCTTCATATTCTGTTTTGTTGTATAATGTGTTGCTGAGATTTGTAGTCCCTCTACAGCTTGGAGTCAGTGTCCGAACTACCAGGGGTGCTGTTTGCAACTGGGACCAGGCCCTGGGACTTCACAACTGTCGTAAAATCATTAGTCTGTAAAAAAAAAAAAAAGTATCGGTAATTTGGTATCGGCAAGTACTTGAGGAAACATATTGGTACTCGTACTCTGTGTGGAAAAAATTGTATCGGTGCATCCCAGTGCATCCCTAGTTGCCTATAATGGGCACACAATTGTTGATGTGCCGGATTTTGCAGTCTGGATGTTCTTTGGTCAGGGTAGTTCCCATTCTACCAGCATTCTGTAGCTAGGTGTCATGCAAGTCTCCATTCTGTTTGTCATAGTGGAGCTTTACTACTAAGCAGTAATGATTCAGGTGACCGTTCATAAATATGCAAACTATGTGTCACTGCTAAGCTCCTTCTCTCTTTCCAAAAGCCTTAGATGTTTTGGCATATCATGGCAGGCAGAGGAGGACATCCTGCCATAAAATAAAGGAGTATGTGGAAACCGTTTTGTTTTTTTTAACTAAAAAAGTAGAAATGCTGGTATATAAGTATGCTGTCCATACAGGGCAGGTTGCTAGTTTCAAACCCCTTCAGCCAGCTTTGAATTGCAGAACTAAGAAAACAGCCAACCTGCAAGCATCCCTGCTATTTATAGATAGATATATAAACTGTTGGTAGTAGTCAACTTTAGGACTTAAGAAAACAACCGCACAGAATAGTGTTTCAAAGAACATTTCCCTTATGCTTTGTTATATTTAGGTCAAAGCTGGTTGATGTCAGTTCTGTGAAGCCTAACATCGCCAACTTTGGAAGATCCTTACTAGCAGGCTACTGTGCATCCTACGTACCAGACTTTGTTCTTCAAGGAATAGCAAGTGAGGAGAAGTTGAGGCAGTGTCTAATGTCAGATCTGTTACATGCTGTACAGGTATGTAGGAATTTAATGTGTCAAATACAGTGACCCTTATAACTGATAATTAATGTAATCTACTCACTGCTCTGTTTTATTTTCTCATTGTTGTGTAGCATCCAGCTTTGGATGAGCCTATTGCAGAGGCTGTCTGCATTATCGCAGACGTGGACAAGTGGTCTGTACAAGTTGCCAGTAGCCAGAGAAGGACAACAGATAATAAGCTAGGCAAGGAGGTGCTGGTATCCAGCCTGGTCTCCAGCCTGCTTAATTCTACTCTCCAGCTTTACAAACACAATCTGTCCGCAAACTTTGTAAGTACGCTTGTTTTCAGCTTTTGTATTAGTCTGCCTTTCGTAACCCCTGCAGTCCCAATCCCCCTCCCCTCCCTTTCCAGTAATATGTCTCAGAGCATGCCGTTTTGTTTTGGAGATGATTCAGCTTCTTTTCATTACCAGCTTTGGTAGACTGCAACCTCAGACATTTACCCCAGAATACAACTGACATAGCTTCCTGATTAAAACCTCAATCCATATTTGTTATGTAGCATAAATCATAAAGATTGCTATGGGAGCCCATAAGAAGTGGCAATGACAGATGGAACTTGTGTATTTAAATGTAAAGTATTGTGTTGCTATGAAGCTCTTTTTTGAGTATTTTGTAGCAGGGTCACCAGCCGTAGAACTGGTTGATTTTGACTGCAGTTGTTTTCTTTACAGTACGATTAAGCTACTTTTTGATATATTTGAATGTGGTTCATAAACTTACAGAAGATTTGGACCTCGCCTAGCGAAATTAAATGTATTCAACTGCTGTATGTGCAGCTTTTAATAGAAATATTGCTACCTTCAATTGCACCTGTGCCCAGACTATGGACATTGTAATTCTCTATCCAAAAATTTCAGATTTTACCATGTGTGAAAAAAATGAAAAATTTTGCTCCCAAGGTGGTTAATGAGTTTAATTTACTCAGTTGGCATGCTGGCCTCATTGGAATCTTGGGCTGATTGCTTTTTGCATGGCATTAGCAGCACTAGATGGTGCTAAGGAGCATAGGAATTTCCTATCCTCTGTTGCGTCATGTAGAGGCGTTAGTACCATGTGAATGGCATCCACCCAGCTACATGTTGGGCGGAACATTTATACATCAGCCCTAGAGATGAGAAGGGCTTGGGAAAAAATGGAAACATTGGGGAAAAAACTGTTTTTTCCGTTCTTTTCCCAAACCGTTTTTGTTTTGTTTTTCTCTGGAAAATTTTGAAATGAAAAAAGTAGTGTGGAATATGTTCTTTTACACTGATAAATAATATATCTTTGACATGGTATTCAAACTATATAACATGATGACCTTAATGAAAGATTTCTGAGACTTTATGTAAAGTCTTACATTATTGCACATTCCCTCAGCTAAAGACAAGCAAATCCTGGAATACATTTCAAGCAACACTACTTCTCAATACAGTTCTCAAACTCAAAAAGAAATATGCATTTCTGCCACTAGGAGCACTGCAGAAGAAAGGCTCCAGTTTAGTTAGCTTGTTGTTGGTATGTTAGTTTCTGTCCTCTTAGGCCTTAATTGACAGGTAAGAAGGTACATTTGTCTGACAAATGCGTTTATCTTTATAACCTACTAAATGATTCCTAATAATATTCTACACCATCACAGTATAATGTTTACCTATAGCCTGGTCAGCAAATTGGTTTTTTTTTCCTCCTCTCAGTAAAATGGTGAGACCAACATCTAGTGCAACTTCTGCTGAGAGCAAAGCTGCAATTTGCAAATATAAAATACAATTTTAAAAAGCAAGTTTAGTTTATTTACTGAATGATCTGTACTTTTATTTCAAGCACAATTATTATTATACAGGATTTATATAGCACCAACAGTTTGTGCAGCACTTTACAATATAAGGAAGACATTATTTTTATATACACTGCATTTCCCATTCCTAGAGTAACAAAATGACTTTCAATTTGTAAAAATACTCCACACTTTTTTTTTTTTTCAATTTTTCCGAAAATGTCTATTTTATTGGGAAAAAACGTCCGGAATTTTTACATCCCTGATCAGCCCCTTAATGTTCTGCTCTCTCTTGCCACAGATTTTGGCAGTCATATGATACCACAGATAATATCTAAGTACTCTTGGCAAAATGAATATTTACTAATGCTATGATCCTTGAAAGCTTATGGATGAAAGGAAACAAAGTCTTTTCACCAAAACTGTTCTGAATGTGAGCTAAGTTTATAGTTGATAAAGGGTCATTTTATGTGTGCCCTCCTTCCATTACGCCAAAGTCAACTGATGGGGTGGGCATGAATGTTTTTCTGCAGCAGGCAACAAAGCAGAGAAAATCATTACCATTATGTAATAAAGAAGTTTTATAGTGCTAATTCCTAAACCTAGTAACCCGTGTCAATCAGATTTTAATATTGCTGAAGTCATACTGGTACCAGATGAATTCTCAATGGTTTTGAAGTGTTGTGTTTTTTTTTTCTACTCCTACCCATGTCTGCTTTATCTTCCTAACATGTCTGTGATATTCTGTGTAATGAATCTATGATCAAAAATATTTAGTGTGGTCTGTTTTCCACTAGTGTATCATGCACCTGGAGGACAGGCTACAGGAGCTCTACTTCAAGAGTCGAATGTTGTCTGAATACCTAAAAGGACAAACAAGAGTTCATGTGAAGGAGTTAAGCATGGTGCTAGGGTAAGATTCTTTCTAGATAACCTCGTTCATCAACTGAAAAGCCAGGCCAACAGTAAGAGCGAGAGCGCTGAAACTGAAACCTTTCATGTTGGTTCCTGGTAATTGAACAGTTTGTAAGTTCTAAGACACAAAGTAGCAATGTTCCACTGGTTGTGTGCAGCTAAATTTGGCAATATTGACCTCTGCACACAAGAGGGTTAAGCCACTTTATGGGTCATCTTCATAGTTCCTTTTTGTCAGCTGTGAGCATGCTGTAAAAACAACAGCATGTTACTTTTGGCATTGGGAGCATGGTGCAATAGTTCTTGCCATGGGGATCTTGGTGCCAGAAAAGATGTAGCCAGAGCTACGAGACAAGGCTACTAAATTTAAACATGTTCACATTGGAGGTGAGGAGATTAAGGGGGGATATGATCTCCATGTACAAAATGTTCAATGGTGGTAGCAACATTAGCGATAAACTGTTTAAAATTAACTCCATTACAAAAACTAGAGGCCATCACCTAAAATTGGTGGAAAAAAAATTCCAGCACAAGGGGCGAAGGGGGTTCTTCACAGTAAGATCAGTTAGGGTCTGGAACTCACTGCCGCAGGCGGTGATTTCAGCAAATAATGTGGAATTGTTCAAGAAACTTTTGGACGATTTCTTAAGGGACCGTAATATACAGGAGTACAGGTACTCCTAGAATGAGATCCTAATAGGTTGGACTTGATGGACGTATGTCTTTATTCAACCTCAAATACTATGTAACTATGCCCTAAGCATCCCTAACATCTCACCCTAGCAGTTAGCTTTGATCACTTCCCAAAATTCTGTTACTTAACTGTAAACCATAGTTCTTTGTAAAATGTTTCAGTGCCTACATGTTGGTGCAGATACCCTTGTCTCAAAGAAACACAATGGCACACAAAACCCAAGGGTGCCACAATGATATGTATTGCCTTATAATGGCTTCAATCTTGCATGTTTTGATGGAGCTTGGAGGGTCAGATTTCCCTTTAGTGATTTGTTAATGGGGCCAGGTTATTTATATAGAGATCTTTCAAACAAACAAATGTGATTAACAATTGTCTGTTTTGGTTGCAGAATCGAATCAAGCGATCTTCCCTTGCTTGCCGCTATTGCCAGCACCCACTCTCCATATGTTGCTCAGATTCTTCTGTAATAGAGGATGCATCAGATGGACTGAATTGCCAGAAGTACAATAAAAGGACAGTGTCGTTCTTGCAGAATCTGGTAATAATGACTGAGCCGACTGTGATCTGTCAGATCCTGAAGATAATCACAGAAGAGGAGAAAGTTGACTCCTGTATAACTGAGAGTCATACTGATCAGAAGTATTGAAGACTGTTGAGCATAACCGAAATCACAAGATAAAAAAGTATACTCATTTTCAGAGTAACACAATTGTGAGTTCTTTTTACAGCAACATTTCAGACTTTGTTTCCTAATTCTAATGAGTATGGAGAATGTTTGTTTTTTTCTTTTTTGAGGAAAGGGGAGTTCTTATTTTGTAAATAGGCTTAGAATAATTGAACAAATGTTGAGGATGACTTTAAATGTTTGCTTTATACTAACAAAACTTCTAAAATAACACCTTCTGTCAGATGTCTTCTATAAGAGCAATGCTTTTATCTGTATTTTTATGTAAGAATTGGCAATATAGATCTATAGAGTGGTTCATATCCAACATTTGAAATAGTACATTTTATAAACATACAAGTTACTCTCTAGTCACTTGTAATCAACTCTGCTGGGCTTTCGGAAGGCATAAGAGCAATAATGATATACTGCAACTGATCAAAAAGGAACTTTCACTGATGTGATCAGTAAACCCAGATCTGGTTAACAAAGGCTACTGCACTTGCTCGTCAGTCTTTGCATTACCTTAATAATGAAGCACCTAAGCTTGTGGTTTAAGCAAATTCTTTAACAGATTGCAATCTAGACTGCAAAGGTAAATCAGTTAAGACACATTGTCTCTTTGCCCTGATTGGGCCTGTGTCTTCAGATAGCTCCTCCCCCCAGGCCTTTATACTTGGAAGGTGATGAGGGAGAGTCTCTCTATCTATAGCTTCTAAGTCTGTTTAATCTCCAGTGCCAACTGGTTTCAATGGTTAGTCAGTGATGCCCTCATGAGCCCTCTCACGTGACAGTGTTTTGGGGCAGGCGATTGGGCTAAGTAGTGTCACCTGGTGGAAGGCACATGCTTCCTCATACCAGAAAGCCCCACTTTTTAAGCTCTGGTGGTTTGGGGGGAGTGTTGCCCGGTGACTGCCTGGGGGGTGGGAGGGACTTTATGCAGACACTGGCAGTTTGCCCCGAATGGACAAAGTGCAGTCTCTCTTTATTGTCCAAGAAGTACCTATCCCTTACACACAATTGAGCCAGCAATTTGTTAACTGAATCAATATTCAGCCTGCCAGTTTTTTCTTAGACTGTATTTTCTGAATCATTGGCAGACACCAGTTTAGTGGGCAGCAGACTCATGTTAATAAAACTGAATCCAGCATTTTGTACTACCTCATATTATAGCGTGCCAATCCCTCACGAAAGATGCAGGAAATTTATGGAGCACATTTATCAATGCATAAACTCAATAGTTCAACCACTTTCCTTTTCTCTCATTTTAACCTACTTGGTAACTTTAGTGGTCTTTATATTTTTCTGGTGTTACTCTAGACCAGGGGTGCCCACAAGGTCGATCGCGATCTACCAGTCGATCGTGTAGCGATCACTGGTAGATCGCCATGTCCTCTCCTCCCGCCGCTTCTCTGGATCCCCGCTGCTCTCCCCAGCGGGGATCCGAGAAGAAGGAAGGAACCGGCGGCGGGGGAGGGCGGAGGACAGAGCCGCTGTCACTAACTAATGCAGCAGTGAGGAGAGAGAGAGACGCTTGGCCAGGATCTGACAGCTGGCGCCTCTCTCTCCCTTCACTGCTCGTCCGTTCTGTCACAGCGGCTCCGCCCCCCCCCGCGGCTCGTCGTAACCCCCGCTGCCTATGCCCTGGAGAGCAGGGGGATCCAGAGAAGTTGCAGCCCCCCTGTGCGTGGACGAGCGGCAGAGGATCGGTACATGTCAGTAGTATGTACCAATCCTCTGTGTAGGACAAACACTGGAGCGATCGGCTGATCACTCCAGTGTTAGTACTATGTGTCCCCAGTTATTTACAATGTGTGCCCAGTTATAAATGAATGAACAGGAGGTGATTTACATCACGTCCCGTTCATTCATGAGTTTCTCAATGGGGGGGAAGCACTCTGTACAGAGGCTCCTCCCCATTAAGAAACAGCTTGATAGTAAAATATTTTCTTAATGAATGGGAAGCCTCTGTACTTTCCATTCATTTAGAATAGAGGCTGCAGAAAAAGAGATTGAGGACACAAAGTCCTCAATTTCTTTTTCTATTTTAAAAGGGAAATATCAGGGGGCTTTTTAGACTTTTACTAATCTGCACCATTCCTGCACTTTCCAAACTATTGGTTTACAAATAGGGGACTCTTCTAAGCCAACAAGACTATAGTTGATCATGGAAAGTTCTGCTGCTTTGATAAATGTGCCCTTATCTGTGAACAACAGCAATCGTAATCTGAATGTAAGTAAACATGTCAGATGGTAACATCGCCATAAGGCAGGGATGTCACACTAGTGTGTTAAGGGATGCATATGGCCAATATGAGATGAACTTGGCTCCACTTTCTAGCCTAATTTATATTTAATTCAAGTACAGGGGAATGGTATGACTGATGTTTTTCTGGTGCTTATGCCAACCTACGGACTTCATTACTTTCAGACCCAGAACAAATATGCAGATAAGGAAAGTCTGAAATCCTTATCTGCATTTTTGCTTGAGGCCAGTGACCCAATACTGAAGCAAGAGGGTCAGCATGACAGGCAAGCAACCACCTTTTTCAGAAGAAGTCTGCTTTGGATCATTCATGTTCCTCTTTTGACTGGTCTAGATTATAAGACAGGTTGAGTAATAGCCCCAATGCTTTTACTATATTTTTTATGGTGTTAGAATATGTCAACTTGCAATCATGTGTTAAAAAAACAGTAATGAAGAGTTGGAGATCCACTTTATTTTTATTTTTTAGCTGTAATACATTTGCTATGTAGTTTTCATTTTCTCTCATATCTCAATACACATTCTCCCCCCTTTTTAATGTGTCCGCCCCTTACCATTGCAATGTCCTTTTTTTTATTTTTTATTGTTGTGGTGGAACTGTATACGAATGGACTGCTGTGTGTGCAGGACAATACAGAGTCTAGTTAAGGCTAACTGGCAGTCATGGATGGTGCAGGTATACTATACCGTGTTTCCCCGAAAATAAGACAGTGTCTTATTTTTTTTTTTGCACGAAAAAAGACACTGGGTCTTATTTTCGGGGGATGTCTTACCTGGCTGGGGGAGGACTGGACGAGGTCCCGGGAAGCGGCATGCTGTTGCCGGTCCCGGTGTTGGCGGATGATATTCCGCTTCCATCGTGCGTGTGGGTGGGAGCTGCGGCCGTCGGGCATGTAGGCGGGAGCTGCATCTGGCGTGTGGGCGGGGTGGAAGCTGCGGCCGGCTGGGGTGTGGGCGGGCGTGTGGGCAGGGCGGGAGCTGCGGCCGGTCTTTAGATTCAAAATTCAGTTTATGTGCAGCTACCCCGAAAGTAAGACCTAGCGGATTTCTGTAATATAAGACCTACCACCGAACTAGGTCTTATTTTCGGGGTAGGTCTTCTATTACAGAAATCCCTGAAGATAGCGCTAGGTCTTACTTTCGGGGAAACACGGTAGTACACAGCAGCCTCAGGAAAGGAGCAGTGCTTGGAGGGAAGGTGTATGCAGTTTATTTTATAAAGTTCTGTGCACATGACATTCATTTATGTTAAATAGGAAGATCTATTAGAAATAAAAAATAAATCTGAATGAAATGCATCAGAATAGGGATGAAGGCATTGATCCACAGATCATTCTCCTGGTTTTATATTTACAGTTGGTTAAGCCCTGATGAAGGGGGAATGTTGGGCCCCTGAAATGCTTTGGCTGCTTCTTGGTTTTTCTGTTGATGCCTGTGAAATGAATACAACTTTATTTTGTACTCTAGGAACTTTTTGTTTGGTACTCTCGTTCAGTTGAGATGCATTAGAACATATGACTGCTACCCTTTAACATGCAGGAGAGCTTCGATTTAAAGGCTTAGACATCACATTAATGGCTAAAATGGTGATCCAAACGAATGGCTTGTAGACACTGCATGCTCTTCCTTCCAGGACTTCGAATGCATTTGACACTTCCCTAACAGCGCGACACCAAGCAAAACCTTTTTTTACTAATATTTTTAGACTCTGGCTAAGCCACATGTGTTATGAACATAGTCCAAAATCCAGTGTACCCATCGCACTCCTGACCGAATAATACCCTTAGAGTCGGGTGGGTGCCAAAGTGACTGCAGATGCCTCAGCAATCCAAGATAAGTGTATGTATAATGTCACTCGCACTCCAATAGAATTTCAAGCCAAAAACGGTTTATTGACTCGATTGCTATCGCATCATATAGCTGATGTGATAGTAATCGAGTCAATAAACCGTTTTTGACTTGAAATTCTATTGGAGTGCGAGTGACTTTTTACATACACTTATATTTGAACATAGATCACACAGTGACAGAGGTTGGAGACCTCTTCACTAAAGAAAACACCTTTTTCATGTGCTGTTTGGCCTTCAGTAAAAATCTTGCTCCCTTTAATGAGCTCCAAGTACTAAACTGGGTTTATCATCCCATCTGCTGTTTTGAGTATATAACAGGCTGTATTAATCAGCTCTTCATTTTTTCCAACCTTTACATTAACTCCTATATAAAATGTACATTGCTCATCATAGAAATATTATTCATGTTTGTTGCCAATTTGGCAGATACAAAATATTGAATATTTTTTAACTTTGGTTATTTTAGCCATATTAGAATAAATTTGATTAAAAACATACGAATTCTACTAACGTATATTTATTATTGGTTTTGTCAAATGAGCTATGAAACGGAATGCAAGTCTGGAAGGGACAACCTGAAGAAAGGGGACATTGCTTGTTGTACAACGTACTCAGAAATATATCTGAGAAAACCTTTTGTACAAGTAACTAAACACAAGTCTATATATACTCATTCCCAAATGAAGAAATTGTGAGCATATAGTATATGTCTATCCGTTTATAAATTTAGCTCATCAGTCCAGGAAATAGAGCAGTGACATGTAGGCCAACAGAGGAAAGGCTGATGTGTCATTTTTCAAAGCTGCATCTACAAAAGGAAAAAAAAGGCCCAGTGGGCATTCCGAGCTTCTGCTACCCATTTAACAATGGCCTTTGGATTGTTCATGAATGCCCCTTGTTTCTTCTCTGCAAGGACATCCCTGACCATGACATGCTCCAGGTTGACTCTTCAAGCCTATGGAACCAGCCA